CAAGTTATTTCAGTGTTGACCTAATTTTCTAAATATTTTATGGATTAGATGGAAGCTTTAATTTTAGTTAATTTTTGTATGCAACAACATAAGCAACGTATTAATCCTTCTGAGAGCTTGCCACCCCCAACCATTTTATTTCTCCTTTTCCTCTTCTAGGAAGATGAAATCTTCCCCTTTACCAAAGTTAACCTGGGCTCCTCTCCAGCCTAATTGCTTCCCCTTCATTTCCTTTCCCTTCCAGCCCTAGTGACAGTGAAAGTTTTTCTTTCGCATGTAAAGATTATTCATGATTTTTTCTTTTATAATAGTGACCAAGACAATATTTGTCCTTGTGATTGACTAACTTCACTCAGAAAATGCTCTCTAAATCCATCCAGGTCATGGGGTGCTTCAGTTTCATCATTATTCTTTAATAATTTGTTAATTTCTGTGGTTTGTATGTTCTTGTTAGGTGCCATTGAGTAGATTCTGACTCACAGTGACCTATGCAAAATGGAATGAAACAATGACCTGTCTTGCACCATCCCCACAATTGTTCTTATGACTAAGCCCATTGTTGTAACCCACTGTGTCAATCTATCTCCTTCAGGGCCTTCTTCCTTTTCACTACCCCTCCACTTCACCAAGCAACAAGTTCTTCTCCAGGGACTGGTGTCTCCTGACAACATGTCCTAAGTATGGACAGAAAAGTCTTGCCATTCTTGCCTCTAACACTCTGGGCATACTTTTTCCAAGACAGATTCGGTTGGCCATTTTAGCAGTCTGTGGTATTTTAAACATTCTTCCCCAGCACTATGATTTAAATGCTCCAAATCTTCTTCTGTCTTCCTTATTCAATGCCCAGCTTTCTTGTCCATCTGAGGTAATGGAAAATACCTTGGCTTGAATCAGGCACACCTTACTCCTCAAAGTAACATTCTGACTTCTCAGTCTTCTAAAGAAGTCTTGTAAAGCAGATTTACCCAAATGCAACCCATAATTTTTTTATCTCTCGATTGTGCTTTCCATGAGTATTGATTGTGGATCCATGTAAAAAAAAGATCCTTGACAACTTCCAACTTTTCTCCCTTTATCATCGTGTTACCTGTTGGTTCTGTTGTGAGGATTGTGAGGATTGGTTCTGTTGTGGGGATTGTGGTCTTCTTTATATTGAGTTGTAATTCATACTAAAGGCTTCACCATTGGTCTTCATCAGCAAGTGTTTCAAGTGCTCCTTACTTTCAGCAAGCAAAGTTGTTTCATCTACATATCACAGTTTGTTAATAAACCTTCCTCGCGTTCTGATCCCGAATTTTCTTCATATAATCCAGCGTCTCTGATTATGTTCCCAGCACACAGATTGAATAAGTACGAAGAGAGGAGACAACCCTTGCTTGCACGTTTCCTGCTTTTAAAATATGTACTATTCCCTTGATCCATGGTCAAGTTCTGCATGAGCACAATGAAGTGTTCTGGAATTCCCAATTTTCTCAAAGTTTATCCACTCACACATCAGTGAGAATTTAAGTTGTTTGCATCTGTGAATAGTACTGTAATAGACAGGAGTGTGCTGATATTTCTGTATTTTTTGTTTTTTTTAAGTAATGCTAGTATTTCTACTTCATATGACATTTATTGTTCCAGTGGTTAAAGGAAGCTTTATACCCTATTCCTCAGTTGCTGTAGTGTTGGACAGTCCTGTCAGCACTGACTAGGAATTCAATCCCTCTGATGTTTGTTATTTTATGTTCCCTTCGTCTTTGTTACCAATGCTGGCATGATGCTGGTCTTCATCATTTTTCTGATTTGTGTCTCTTGAATGGCTAGTGATGATGGACATTTGTTTGTTGGTTGGTTGCCTGAATGCCTGCTTTCATGAATGTCCATAGATATCCTTTGTCTATATTTACATCATATTTTCTTTTTTGTATTGAGCTGTTGAAATTTTTTATAGGTTTGGAAATTAGTCACTTGTCTGATATAGTATTTTCAGAAGTTTATTATGAGTCCATTAATCCCACTGCATTATTCCTGTCTCTAGACAAGCCCTTTAAAAATCATCCATCAGAATTAAGTTAGGTATAACGAATAAGTCTTTGTCTGAGATATATCTAAGGGAGTGCCTGAGGAATTGTCTGGGGCATCACCTGATGTAGATGCCTTAAAGCCAGAGCTGAGTATTCTCTGGGACTCCCTCCATCATTAATTTTTACTTCTAAACCTATAACTACACCCAGAGAACTCAAGAGTTGAAATTCAAAGGAGGACTCAGGAAGAGGTTCACTACATCTCAAAAGAACTGCCTGATTATAGTACTAAATAAAAACAGAGACCTAGGGAATATGTGGAAATGGCTATTAAGGATTTGGGATAGTGTTCTAAGAATCATAAATTTGAACCAGGCTTATTGCATTAATGTGGGACTAATAAACACAGACTCTTCATTTAGTATTTCTTTGTCAGAGGCTAAAAAAGGGTCTTATACTTCATTTTGTTGGTTCATTGGAGCCTAGATGGCAATATGCTGATAGGAAAGAAAGAAATATAAGTAACCTTAGACTTATTGGTATGATATTTTCATCATAAAACTAAACTAAACCTACTGCCATCTATTACATTCTAACTCACATCTACTCTATAGGAGAGGATAGAACTGCTCCATAAGGTCCCCACAGCTGTCATGTTTAGAAAATCAGATTGCTTCATGTTTCTCATGTGGAGCAGCTAATTTTTTCCAACCAGCAATGATTTCGTTAGCAGTCCAACAATTAACTCATCGAAATTAGCTTGACAATATGTCCACTTCAATGAAAATCTATAGATGAGTTGTGTGCAACATAACAAGGTATTTGTTTTTTGTGAAGAATAAGATATTTTCTTGGCACCTCCATAATTAAAAACGATTCACTAACCTGATAAAATTCTTTGGATTTAGGAGGCGACCCATCTTTTATTTGAGTCTCCTACTTTGAACTGTTTATCAAATGACTTGGAAAGCTACTTTTGAAGGGTCCCAAGTAAGAGAAGGCTCTGTGACAAGTTCAGGGTGCTATTCAGAGTGTTCTCACACTTAGACTTTTAGATTTGCCTCCTAGAGAAGCTATTTGAGTCTTTGGCTGCTCCCTCTTGGTGAATTACAGTACAGGCCATTATGATTTGGAGCAAATCCATGTCATCATCTGTCTATAGCTACATGTGTTAGTCTGCGTTAACTAGAGAACCAAGTTCATAGACATATGTGTATGAAAAAGAACTTTATATAAAAGAACAATTGTACATTGAGAAAACATTCCAGCTCAGTCTAGATCTAGTCTATGAGTCTGATATTATTCCAAATGTCTCATACCAGTCAATAAAATCCTCAGCAGACTCCCACAGTAGCATGCAGCGATACTGAATGCAG